GGTACATTTAACCGCTAAATCATGAATTCCGATGGAGGAGCCCTTCAGACAAGCCCTTGAGGAAGTATTCACAGCGCTATAAACTTGAACGGCGTAAGTGCAACAATGTCAGCCGTTAACTTTCTTAAATACTTGTCGGTATAACAAACCAAAGTTTTCTAACCGATGCAAGGGTTTTTGGTAAAAGCTTAACAGGTTTCAGACAAGATGGTCACTTGGATTTGGACTTGACTTTACTGTAGGAATCACTGTTCTGCCTTTATTTAGTTCAGTGTCAACGAAGCAGTTTTTGAAACCTTGCCAGTGACCTTTCAATCAATGCATAGCGTAAAATATGACTGCTTTATTGCTAGATGATTCAGCAATTAGTATGTACATTTGCAATAGGCAGAGTCAGAGGGCACAAAATACGCGACTGTATTCTAGAGATTAGATCTCTTGAGTTGAGGCCGATGGGTGGATAAACCCAAAGCGGTATAGCCTTTGTAAGTCTCTCTAGAGCTGGAAAAAAAGTGAAATCGGGAANCGAAACCTTTGACATTACGCAAGCTGCAATGCTGAACGTTAACATCTCTATTTCTATCCAAGAGCGCCGAAGGATAAATATCTGGTAATGAAAAAGTTAAACTATACTTATATAATGATGATGTTCCGCAACACACCTCGTGATTCGCTGTCCGCTGGTGCAAAAATAGGGAAAACAAACTGGCCAATCCGAACAAAGGTGTACTGGAAAGATTTGAGTTGTGAATGTCTGCTCCACTGAGTAATAAGAACGATCTTCTGGACTCATTATAGGGTCTAACAATGGTCTGCAAGTGATCTGTTAAGAGTGTGCTAAGAAAATATTTCGCCAGTTTGAGAATATGTTGTCAAAGAAACGATTGAATTCAACGCGTTGAGACTTATCGGTTGTGGTGAAGACTAAGCTTCACCAAACGTCAATAGTATGTTGAAAAAACAGGGTTTCCGAAGTCTGTTCAACAGCACAGAATCTCCTGAAATATTTTGTTTCATTGTACACGATAAAAAGTATGAACCACTAAGCTGGTGTATCAGCACCGATCAGCTGACTTCCGGTTTCAACGTGCACGCGGTCAACCTTAACATCGCTCAGCAAGCCTCATTCGGGCTGGTGGCCCTAATGGAATCGAATGAAACGGATTACTTCTCTTTTCGGCTAATAGTCTGCAAACCAGACATCTTCACTTAAAACTAATACGATCATTTGAAAGTGGTGACAGGAGTCGATTATTCAATGAATCAAAATATCCCATTCTGCTTGATTAGTGGAGTTCGGACAGAATATTTGCTCAAAAATTGGCTGAAAACTACTCAACAGGCCATGAAAGGTTTCGCTCTTTTTAGGGATCAACAGATTGGGGCAGTGCCCTGGTTTCCGTCAGCCAGTCTGAATACAGTCCACGAAATGCACTCATCTGAACATTAACATGGTATCCTATAAAATTACGGAATGGTGTGAATCAGCGTTTATAATTGTTATCCCACTAGTGTGACAAGCGTTCGATGATTTAAGGAAGACTATGGTGTTGTCTGGTGTGAAGGGGCAAATATTGGCGAACTGGATCAAAATATTTAAAAATGAATCTCAATCCTTAACTGCTCGAAAACACTCGCTGAATGATGAGAAGGTAAATGCATCGTTCAGCCTAATATAAAATGATACCAAAACTATCTTGACATTATGCCCGTGACCAGGAACAGCATATGAAAATGAGATGGCTTCTCACCACCTCCGAATAAAAAGCATAAGTTCTCCAAGCTATCTGAACAAAAGACCGTACAGGAGACCTATTTTACTTCTCAACAAGCCGGATTGTTGAGAACACCTTTCTGGAAACTAGCAAAAGTGAGGATTTGTATGTTCTTGATATGCTATTGCTTTATAGTGTTATTAGCTTACATATCGCATGGAGGACCATCTACAAACTAACGCTGCAATCAGTGTAGGCTGGAAATTATTATCAACTTGTTTCCAAAGTTTTAACAAGCTGGTCATTGAATGCGAAAATGTTCTGTGTATCGAGGCTTGTGGGAAAAGAGTATGGAGGAAAATGTTCTACTTTTTGCTCTCTCGTGTACGTAGTTCCAAATCTCTGGCAATTAATCCAATAAAAGTTGAGGGTATTTGTATGTTAAACGATATTTTCTGCACTTTCAGGTATTTGAAGGACGCTCAAAGTGCAAAGAAACACTATATTATCAAGTTCAGGAAAATTCGATTGTCTGCTGTGATCGAATTCATTTGTAAACTTGATATTAGTGCGAACTGAAGTGCGACTGTTTAACATTTAGTTTGGGCTTAAGTTACCCGTAACAAAAATATTTCGGTGAGCCTGCCTGATGTTGTTCCCACGTAGCCGACAAGAAGACTTGTACTGAGACCAAACCTCTGAAGGCATGAAACGATCAAAAGAGAGCATGTCTGTGTTGCTGTGTTGCTTTGCATTTGGTTACCGCTCCCGACTTCACAAATACAAGGACCAAACTGTTTCACTGGTGTGAGTACAGTCAGGCTGAGTGTAGCAGGAATAGTTCACTGTGTAAAACCGCACCGCCGGAGACGGTTGGCTGCAACCAGACAGAAGGAAAATAGTGCTTAGGTTCAGTTGTTAAGAGCTACTGTACCGTGACGATTGAAATAATCTGTCCGGAGCAAAAATATGTAGAATTTTGTTTTAGTTAGGGCCTCAATACAGTGATAAGACTCGATGGCCGGGCTACCGAGCGTTGCAATATATCACACATTTTGGCTCAACAACTTACAAGACGCCGCACCGGCATATGCTGTCTGAGGTAAGAGTTGCTCGAAATAATCAAATACTATGCAAAACAAAGCAAAGTGGAGACGAAGATGCATGTTTAGGAAATCTACAAATATGTTTATCCCACATGGAGCATACTTTTTGTGAGACTTTCAGATTTTAATAATGCTACTTTTCACTTGAGGAGCTGATTTCACTGGAAGCAAAATATTCTCCATTTTCCGGACGTGTTCATTCCTCTGGGGAAATAACGTGCTCGTTGAAAACGCAAGCGCAATTTGCCACAAACATGCCCTGGACTGAGTTAGCCGGGTGATTCTACTAAATTGTTACAAGGATGGGTTTTCTGCCAAGTTGAGTGCGCCTGAACCCCCCAGGCCATACCCGTGATGACGACACCAGAAGGTACGTATTTATTCACCCAAGGTCCGCATTGCATGGCAACATGCGCTATTCTTAATTATTAAAGGGTTATTTGCAAACAAACTCTGTGACCTTGGCTGCAACCAACACTTTGATCAACTTAACCCTCTAAGACAAGGTGCAAATCCGGGTCTAGAATATGGTTGTGCATTCTTTCCGCTATTGTTCAGCGAAATATGCTGGGTACACGACACAGTGAAGTTGTAATATAATATATGAGCGCCTCTCTTGTCGGAACATCACTCAGCGGGTCAGTCAAAAGCCTAATCGCGTACTAACATCAGTCACCTCCGAATTCCGAGCATCCACTAAGCAGTTAGTGTCGATCCAACGGCTCTGGTTGACCACAGCCGAAACAGTCACAATACGATCCCGAAACCCCGTACTGCGTTGTTAAAAACGACTCGTACAACATGGCGTCTCCCTTGTTTATGTGGCAAGAATCGCTGAACCAAATTAATCAGAAGCTCTCTAGACTGCAGCACAGGATTCACTTAGTTGCGACTTGCGGTCTGCTGAAAACCACTCACCATTCCGCTTATACCTAATTTTATGCAACATGGTGCAGCTACTGAATGACCAGTGTCTGTTGAGTGGTTTACTGGCCTCTGATTTGTACTTTTCAAGGAACTGAGTTGTGGCATGTCGTGCTTGGACTTATGGCATTCGCCTTGAATAGATTAAATGTCAAGTGCAGCGTTGTACGGATCCAACACCTTCAGTTATCAAGCGAGTGTTTTCCGTCCTGGGTAACCATCACTAATGTTCTGCTTACTGGGAAGAAAGCTTTGGCGCATCCGTCCGAGTTCGCCCGCTGAGTTTTCTGTTCCGGTAGCCTGTCAACCGACAAGTACGCCGGAATATGTTCCCCATTCACTTTATACCGAATATCTGGTCACCCAACTCTACAAGTAGCATACATTTCTGTATTTTGACTGCTCGGCGAAGTGGGAGCAGTTTATTTCCCTCACTCTGTTTCTCAATGCGTGATGAATTTTTTTATTTCAGTGATTAAATTGCGTACCAACACTCACTGACCCCGTTTGGAGTCCTCATCAAGATCAAGCAGTGGTATGACAACCAACGGATGTCTTGTTAGTTTTCCCAAGCCCCATGTAGAGAAGCCATCTGTGCCCAAAGAAGGTAGTTTGTTAGGTCTATATCGTATCGTTAAGTGAACTGTGTGCAGATTAATGACAAGAAGAGAAGTGAGTTGATGCAACTTATCAACCATTCTGACCGTTGAATGCGTTGGGCCAGTGTAAGCGCATGCGAACTATATGTGAGACCTGAAGAGATGGATAGACTTGTTACTGTGAACACGCTAGGTTCAGACGGTTATGAACACAGTGTCGCTTTTTTAGTAAGACCAGAACTGGGAAAACAGTCTTTGACAATGCCAATAGAAATATCCTGTCCATATATTTATCGACAGTATAGGACTAACGGATAACACCAAAAACAAAAAAAATAGTAACCTGAATATTGAAAACTTACAAATACTGGCTATAGAAGGTCAGTCAGGAGTCTGTCTTTAAAATGTGGGATATGCAATTCCTCCCGGATCATTGGCATTCCCTTCTTGGTGAGAAATTTAAACAAGTGGGTGGCAGTAAATTAAAATAAGCTCAAACAAGGTGAACGTGGATGTAGCTGTCATGATAAGTTTTGTAGGAGTGAATGGATACGTAAACATGAAGCACACAAACCTAGCCTCAGACTTCAAGCCAAACAAAGTCGCGAATTACTCAATCAATTTTGTAGAACGGTCTTATTGTGCTGAGAATGTTCTCTGTAATTGATGTGATCATCGTTTTTCAAAATTTCTGCACCATGTCTGCAACAGGTACTTTTTCAAATCTATCAGTCGGTTTTTGTCCCCTTTTGAAACAGAAAGGATGATGATTCAATAACAACGGTGAATTGTTGTTATAATCCATACTAGTTGGAGGGTAGTGAATTAGACAACCTTGTGTCAGTGTAGCACCTGTCCTCTCCCGGCACACCTCGGTCACTATCGAACAGCGAGTAGACTCTCACAAGATTACTAAAAACTCTTCGACAGCCCACGACCGGTTTCGCCCTTCTTGGGTCTCATCAGTTTGACAGTCCCTGAGTTTCCGTCAACCCCATGTTCCACTTCAACCCAAAATGCACTGTTTTCGAGAAATACACTCATTTGCAAATCCATTTGGTTTTCACGAGAGACTCAACTGAATCTCTCGTTTATGATATTCAGCAACCTTGTGAGTAGTTCCCTTTATGAAAATATACTNTCATGATTCAGTTGGCACGATATTTGAGATATCGCAGTATATTTTCATAAAGGGAACTACTCACAAGGTTGCTGAATATTATGAGAGAGAGATTCAGTTGAGTCTCTCGTGAAAACCAAATTGATTTGTAACTGAGTGTATTTCTCGAAAAGCGTGTAGACTCATTTGACTGACTGACAGTAGTCACGAAATTTACCATCTGTGAATCACTGTATCTTTCAGAGCTGTTGCATAACTTCTCTAATTTACATCATTCTACAGGGACAATCCGAGAAACTTAGTACATTTCTGTTGGGGATCAGCCGCAGTAAGCATTTCATAAATGTCTATAGCGATGTGACCTGTTGATCTACTTGTTGAAGGCCGAGCCGTTTGGCTACTAGCGGCTGAGTAACTGGCACGTCAATTAGCCAGTGTTTTAGCCAACAACAATCACCCATGACAGAACAATAGATTTTCGCATTAAATTTCCTTCTTCAATGTCCCGTAAGTTTCGTAAGCCCCGTAAAATCCAGAATTTTAATGTTAACAAAATGAATCATACATTACTTTAGTGACAACAGGAGTGGGGATTCTTAAGTTCTGCGAGCTGAGTGCATCAATCACTTGACAAATGAGACATTCGGTCTGCATGCATTACCCTTACTCTCTTTGCCGTTCATCCAGTGAGAATCGGGACCCTTTGATCGAGGCCAAGCTGACTTGAATTCGATATGTCCAAACTGTTGTCCAACTTGTTGGCTAAATTGATTTTTCTAATACTGGTAAGCTTTCTCTAGTGGCGCCAAGTCGATTGACTTTTGTGTCTATGAAAACATGTTTGTTTTCATCATTCGTACTGAATACTGTAATGAAGTTGTTACTCCATTGTAATGAAAGTTGAACAACAAATCATGAAGCTTTTCTGATAAACATTTTTGTGAAATATGCAACCTGCAAAGACGGAAATATATTTGGGAAAAAATATAGGTCATGCACTTGAGAAGAAAATCTGTATATATCTTTCAAATCCAGAATCTACTAATTGAGTTTTAATGTGGTCAGAATTATTTTGCGGTGCAAAGCCCAAAAGTAAAAGCTTTTATTGTGTGAACAAACAGGAATATGATTTCTGACCAAGTACTGAAGTTTGAATTGCCATTTAGAAAGTGGTAGATGTGGTGGTAGGCATCTAGAAAAATCCTCGCGGAAATATTAGAACTAGGGTCACTGCTGATTGTTCCCGTCGGGATAACACAGTGATAGGCTTCTACGTTTGATGTACTTTACTTTTAAATGCTGAGTCCTGATCATACCTCAGCGTGTCCAGCCTAGTCCAAAACCTACATAAGTATGCACTATTTCGTGCAGCTTAGTCGTACTGTCCCTAGCTAATCTAGATAGACAACCGTTGTGGTGTACCACAAAACTCAGTCACGCACATTGCTTCTAAAAGAATCTGCCTATATTTCTTCGTCCTGGGAATGTTATGTCTTCATACAGAATTCGCAGCCGAAATTTCTGTCACCACATTTCTCCTTTTTATTCTATTTGACGGATAAATGTGATCAACTGAGTAGACCCAAGGCATGTTGTAATTATCGTTTTTGGAGAGTAGTCGACGGTATACCGTGCTCCACTATCTGGCGCGTACCTCAAATGGATGAGTTCTGTCCGCATCCTTTTCATCTGAAGAGTTTTCCTCCTGATCCTCCTGAACTGAAGCACTAGACCAGTTGTGACAACTTTATCTGTTCAAATAAGAACGATCACAGTGCAAATTCCACAAAATCCCGCAACTACTGATAAGAATACTTTCAGGGCTCTTTAGGTAAATTTGACATTTTTCAATAATTCCACTTGCGTATGTAAATAACTGTACATCAGTTCACCACTGACTCACTCATAACTTCAGGGAGAATAACATTTGCCGAAGCCAACTGCGAATGAAAAAGTGAAACCATAACGAAGCGCTTAGGCAAATGCTGCCGTATCGCAACTGCCTCCTCCAAAACTTCCCTCCTTGCAGCGAACAATTGCGCATCTCATGCTGATTAAAACAACACATCTTGTCCCGCCAAAATGTATGTTAGTGACCTGAAAAAGTTTCAAGTACGGTGCTACCAGACACAGACTCATCGCGTAATCCCCTCAACCGGTGGAAGCCAATTACTAAATATACTGCTTTTGACGAGCAGCTATGGTGACAGGGCTACCGTTTCAGAAATAAGGGAATCGATAACTATAGCACGGTTAGGTTTTGGTACATTTAACCGCTAAATCATGAATTCTGATGGAGGAGCTCTTCAGACAAGCCCTTGAGGAATTATTCATAGCGCTATTAACTTGAACGACGTAAGTGCAACAATGTCAACCGTTAACTTTCTTAAATAATTGTCGGTATAACAAGCCGAAGTTTTCTAACCGATGCAAGGGTTTTTGGTAAAAGCTTAACAGGTTTCAGACAAGATGGTCACTTGGATTTGGACTTGACTTTACTGTAGGAATCACTGTTCTGCCTTTATTTAGTTCAGTGTCAACGAAGCAGTTTTTGAAACCTTGCCAGTGACCTTTCAATCAATGCATAGCGTAAAATATGACTGCTTTATTGCTAGATGATTCAGCAATTAGTATGTACATTTGCAATAGGCAGAGTCAGAGGGCACAAAATACGCGACTGTATTCTAGAGATTAGATCTCTTGAGTTGAGGCCGATGGGTGGATAAACCCAAAGCGGTATAGCCTTTGTAAGTCTCTCTAGAGCTGGAAAAAAAGTGAAATCGGGAATGTTCAGCAATGTGCTAAGTCCACTCCATTGTATTTCCTGACGCGCAATCTCAGGAACGGCACCTTACTCGGCACTCAGACCAAAATGGAAAGGTGGTAGCTGCAGTTCTGTGACAAAATCCCTTTCATATTACCAACCCAGTGATGGTTACAAATGTTCCACGCCTTACTGTGCACTAGAGAAACCACTGGCACAGAGAATTTCCCCTTACGAAACTGGATTGGAGTTGGAAAACCTTTGCGGCTGTAGTTTTTGGGCGGAGCGCGTATCTTGTGTCGGACAGAAATGGATCAAACCTCGGTCAGGGTAATCCTGATATATTCGCTAAGTAGCTTTCTACTGAATACCATTCATCGCCATTCTGGTACCACGCGATAACAATCTTATATTGACAGTTGGATGGTAGATGGTATCGTAGGAATGAAGCATTGATTGCATACAATTGTTTAACTCTGAAAGTTGTTGCTTGTGAGAACATTCAGTCTGGATGTAATGACCTGTGTATCCATCGTAGAAACATTGTTTCCTATCCTTTCCATAGATTCACTGTCGGCGGTGAGAGTGCCATTTATGCTGTCGTAAGAAGTTCAAAGTAGAAGCTTATAGATTCAAGGTGTTTTTTTTGGTTTCAGGAAGTCTGATAAACATTTTCGGGGGTTCTAACTGCTGTGTACCAGATTTGCATGCCAATAAATATGATACATTTGAGGGCACTTGGATCCACTAGTCAAATTAAAAGCTTATGAAAATTCCATTGTTGCCCACGGTTACCGGAGGTCGGCTGATTGCGAAATCTCACGTCCGAAAACAAAGTGAATGTTCTATGCACCAAAATTATTAATAGTCTCAGTGAACGGACTGTTGTTTAACAACATCAGCAGTGATTTCTATGAGTCACAGGAGTCTCCTGGTGTTTTTCTTCATTCTGTAGCACAAATTTGGTGACATACTGACACAGAAAATCTTTGTCCTGGACGAACATAAATGAGACGTATGGCCTGGATGTGCGCAAGGCTTTCAATAAACACCAGAGGCGCCTTGTACTTTAATGTCCAGTAAAGACGAAAGACACGTAAGTTAAGGAATTCCAACAAACTGTAATATACTAACGTTAAAGAAGCCAACATTATTCGAGAGGCAGCAAAGGTGACCTGATTCATAAGAAGAGTAGTGCTCAAAATTCCCTAGCTTAACTCCCCTTTCGGGGGGAACAATCTGAGCGATCCCCGTTTCGATTTGTCTCGCATGTTTACTTTACTGTGACAATTCTGCTGACTCCTGTTTGTTTTTTCTTTTAGTACCTCTAACTGATGAACCCCAGGAAGAGCGAAACCGGTAATATGCTGTCTGAAGTTTCCGTCGACGTAAGACACCCCTGAATTACTAGATAGGACTCGCCCATAGTCGCTGTATTAAACACTCGAGTTTTTCCTTCTTAATGCCGGTTGGGAATCACCATTTGATATCAACAAATTTTCTGTTGGTCAAATGTATTTCTTACCACTCAATGCTTCGAATATCCATTGTGAAGTTCATTTTATGCTCTCAGAAAAATGCACATAACATGTTTAAAGTTAGACGATTTTTTTCCAACTTTTTTATCGTGCAGCATCCAAGACAAATTATTATTCCCCAATACAGTGTGGCTAGCGAGATGTAATTCAGACACAACGCAAGATGTGGGTAAACCGTACGAAAAAATAAAAGCCCCTTGTCAACGTTTGTGAATTTTAAAAAATCGATGTATTTTACCTTACTTTGGCAAGTAAATGATGGGGCTGTCCTGCAGCCAATGGTTGTGCAACTTGGGGTTAACGAACACGGAAGAAACAGTATCTCAACGCTTAAAGTAACGCAGTTATTCGCAACAAGTGGCTCCAAGTTCACTGGAAACCCCTCACCACAGAAATCAATTTTTAACCATGTTTTCTCGCTTTTGCTTAAAAGATGAACAATGTACTAAGAAAGAAAGGATAATCAAGACACAATTGAGAAAGAAAAAATATATGAGCATAAAGGAATGTTTGTATGCAAATCGGGCGTCACCATGTGTAAACTGGGCTGTTAAAGCAAGCAGCATATCGACTTTTGAAAATGCTTGCAGAAACAAAGTTTGTCCCGAGTGGCTTCGGACCACAGTAGCTCATTTTATTTGATGCACCAACAGGCTTCCTTTTCCCACTTTAAATATATAGGGATCATATCAGGCCGAAAACAATAGGAAGCTCGCTATTCGTAATGCACTACGCATTAGGTTGTTGAAAATTCTTCGACAGACCACGACTGGTTTCACCATTTTTGGGGTTCATCAAGTAGGAATAGCCCCCGAGTTTCCGGGGACTTGAGAACGAAATACACTCATTTGCATGCCAATTTGGCTTTGCGAGCGACTCACAAACGGGAGATTCAGTGGGCTCCAGGTGAGTCTCTCGCAATTATTAATTCGGTTGCAAATGAGAGATAACTGTCATTGTCTGTAGTCCGGAACCAGAACCTTGAGCAAAAATCGAGGATGATCGATTTGCGCGTGTGCACCCTGATATCACAGGAAAAGGCTAAACGTGAGAAGACATGCGGCCGCTCTGATTGAGTCAGACAGTCTCGTCCAACAGCGCTGAGTAGGAAAAGGCTAAACGTGAGAAGACATGCGACCGCTCTGACTGAGTCAAACAGTCTCGTCCAACAGTGCTGAATCGAAAAAATGAGTCGATCGATAGACCAGCCGGTTATGGGCTATTAGTGCCGCAGAGGAAGCGATAGCTTCTTTCGATTTCGCAGCCAACTTGGTGATAAGCCAAAACGTAGTATCCTTGATGCTTGAAATGGTCTGCTTATTTGTCGTTTTGTGTTTCGCTCCTTCATTGGGTGTTGAGTTGGATGACTTCACATACTACTATAACTTTTTGAAACCCAAAGGCACTCTTTCGAATCACTTTTATGCGTTGAACACTAAAAAGCATTCTGCTTCGCCAAGCTTCGCACGGGGGGTGACAGACGCATGTGGCGTATCAAACCTATAGACAGGATATGTATTTCTACTTCTGAGAAGTTGAAGGAAATTTCCAATGAGGCATACATTATTTGGTTCATTATTGCTGACTATGGTATGCAGTCAAGAAATAATTTGACTCAACTACATTTCTGAAAATACTGGAAAACTTCATCTGTAATTGCAAATTGACGTGCAGCATGCTTTTATAATTTAAAAATAAAGAGGATCCGCTATTTTCAGTTCAAGAGCACGCAGATGCACTTTTGTATATAAAAAGCCCGAAGACGGAGTCTGCTTGTGTGTGTTTATCTTTGAGAATGACTGAGTGGCTTGAAAGTGACGGTTTTTCTCGAAGACTCTGTCTTCCAAACTGGCAAGCAAAGGTCAAACAAAGTATATTTTGAGAGAAAATTTGTTCGGGAAGCAGTTATCCCAAAACCCATTCAAATAGCATCATCATCTGGTTCCGACAACCGCTTCTGGTAAGCAAGATTGACAGGCCATCAATGCCCACCCTCTTCAAAATCGACAACTGTTGTCAGCTTTCCGGCCATATGAAGCTACATACGAAGAGCAGACGTCTAATGAATTCCAGCGCGTAAGTGGACCAAGTTAGGCGATACTTGAAAGTAGTCATTAGGCAAGACGATAGCCAAACCGCACGTAAAATCTGGTTTATTTCATCCATTTTAGTAATATACAGGTTTCGTTGTTTCATTTGCCTTTTTGGAGATCAAATTATCACCTCGTTTTTGTACATTGCCTGAACATTCAAACGGACAATGAGATGTCGCGGGACGAATTTGTTTGCACTCATCAGTTCGAGTCACATGAAGTCCCGATCACCGAGTAGTCATAGTCTCGTCGTGCTTGAATAACCGACTCATGTCATCTGATTCTACTTGAACCTCATGGGTTCCGTAACAGCTACTTTGGCCTATACGTGATTCATTCGTGTTTGTCTACCCCCTTCTGAGGGTTAATGTAACAACTCTCACACGAATCATTCCAGCCATGGAGCCTCCCGCTTATGTGGTGCCGATTCGTAATATTACTTCTCATTAATTAATCATGTTTTGTCAATTTTGCTGACACCCATATGCACCAAGTTCCCGGTCAGTAGTGTAGCCGATGTCTCAGCGAGTTTAAGGAAGACAAACAAATGGCAACGGGATGGCTGAACGGACAAGAGCGGAATTTACAAAACGGCATTACCAGTAACGGTAACAATAGTGACAGATGGCTGCAGAGTAGCAGTACTCAAATGTCAATCACGATGAAGGAAGTGATGCGAAAAACAGAACTGTTGATTTTTTTCAACGGATTACACATGATCACATTTCAATTTCCGTAAGCCAGGATTATTTTAGTCCTGGGCCCAGAATGAAATCCTAGGAGGAATGTTTGTAGCCGTTCACTAAATCTCTGGGTCCCAATAGTTACTCGGAGTCAAATCATCAGTGATTAGTTCGGGATATCGAACAGATATTTACTGGTTGCGCAGTAACATTGAAATCGATATATCTCAGTTTACAATTCATTCGGCCTCTACCAGCGAACAAAAGGAATAATGTTAAAAATCTTTTCCTCATGTTCACCGAGAACTGCAGTAAGCAGCTGGACAAAAGTACAACAATGAGCAGTTCTGTTGGCTAGCTTAGCTTTTGTACCCACACGCACGCTTTTATTGCTTAATGCACTGTAACTACATTTCCATCCATAGTCCGTTCAGGTCTCCAATACAAGTGCGTTCACTTGACTTTTTCAAGGCAATCTTATCGAGGTCGCATTGTAACCATTTCTTTATACCGTTTGAAAAACAGTGATTTCCGACTCACTCCCAACCAGCTGGGATGTTTTCGGATGCAAGCAGTGACCTAACAAAAGGCATTCCTACTGAAACCTGCCCTGGTGTCTATCGCCGCATGTGCTCGATTGGAAAGCCTTCATTTTTTAAGTGAAACAGTGTATGCCAACTGACCTCGACAGGCAGTCAACTCAAACTTATGCTTGCTGCTGAAAAGAATCATCAGAATTGAGATAATACATTTAATTTTCCAATTTTCAACTACTTATTAGTTTTGTTACGACAACTCCGGACAATAAGTGATCTAATAACCGAGAGTGTCGTAGTCCGCATGACGACCGTATTTGGAGTAGTCGTTCTGTGCACCGTAACCCTTTAGCTTGCCATAGGCGTCATACTCGCTTTTGCCCTTAAGTTTTCCGTAGACATCACGACCTCCATAACCTTTGGAACTGCCAGAATATCCATACTTGCCGTATTTGTCAAATTCACTGGACACGTCACTCTTGCCGTAACCATCAAACTTGCCCTTGGCTTTCAGTGAGCCGCGAAGGTTGAAGTTGTTGGCAACCTTCTTGTCACCGTATTTCATGGCCTGGCCGTAACTGTTGTACTCATTGTAGTGTTTCTTCTTCCCTTTTGTGTCGTGTCCGCCGCCACGACGGAAAGTGGTCACTTGCTCATATTGGCTTCCTTCGCCCTCAGTACCAGTGCCGTAGAAATTTCCTTTGGCCTTCAGACCAGCGGTGATGCCATAATCATCGTCACGGCGAGCCTTACCACTCATGTAGTAACTCCCGCCTTGTGTGTAGAATCCATCATCCTCCTCGTGTCTCTGATTTCCAAATCGGCCGGCGTGGGTGGAACTGCCGCTTCCGCTCAACTCACCTTCCAAATCATAGTCATATCCGGACACTTCGTTTCCAGTGGCATCTCCGTAGCCGCCCCTGTAAAAGCGTCCCGTTGCAACTCTTCCTTCTCCCAAGCCAAATTTGTAGCCTCGTTTGTAACCACTGGTAAGTGAGATGGACACTAAACCCACCAACAGAAGACAGATTGGCTTCATTGTGTACTGCAGAGACTATACTACTCCCTTAGAGTCCAACAGTTTTTATATGGGCAGTGGGGATTATAAGTGACCACATCATGTGCTAGCGGTATTATTTCGCGTCATTAATTTGATCTGAGGTTGTGTGATCGAAACAGATCGATGCAATTGGCTGCATCCCAATATGGTGAGTTTCGAACACATGTACCGAAAATGATCTTATTGCGCATTAGATAAGTTCATCTGTTCCCTCACTACGTTGCAATATCAGAACTAAACATAGACAGACAGTATTGAAAAACATGCACTCTGATCGCGTCATCGCATCAATATGCAGTGCAGTTAGCTGGTAGTTTGCTTACGAATTTCCCTTGTGAATTAGCCACCGCTATTCGCGTCTTGACAGCGGTCATAATTCTTAGTCAAAGAGTCGAACTGTTCCAACCACTGAAACACGATCACCTTCATTTGTCACCAATTGTTGCTCTCTTTTCTGTGTTCTAGTGACCATCAACCCCAAGGTTAGGGTAGTCAGCAAGACAGTCTTGGATTGGAACTGAATATATGGCCTAATGTGTGAACGCGAATCATAGGGGCTAGAAAACGAACGCAGCGTCAATTTCAATCACGTCCAGTGAACCTGTTAGCGTAGATGTCTCATTTAATGAACACACCCATGGAAGTATAAAAAGCTGGTATGGGAGTATAAAAAGCTTCCACATCTACCTTAATAACATACACAACTGAGGATAAATTTATCCAAGGGAATAGGTACGCCTCTGGTTGAAATTACAGGACAAACCTGATTACACTAGTGACTCACTTTGCACCTGACGACGGCATGCATGGAAAGGCTCACAACCTAGAAACTGAGTGAAGTATCCAAAACAGCCACTGCCCCTGAAATGACCTTTGCCATGATCTGCACATCCTACAGGCAACATTATTTCACTTCACGTTTCGGCCAAAGCTTATAAAAGCTTCATACACTAAACAATATGATATGTTAAAATTACTTGCACCTGCCGAGAGTGATGTAAACGCGTTCACTGACTTCTGTTTTTTTCAGATTTGCAAACAAGTTGTAGTTGGTTTTGCTCTCACGATGTTTCACTCAGTGACAATTGATTAAAGTAGTACATATCTATTTTTGGCAAGTCGGTAGCATATGAAAATTTTCTGGGCTGTATTTGAGGATTGGTGCATAAATACCGAGAAATACTTAGCTCATTCAATCAGCCATTGGCCACAACTAGTTGACTTGATCGTTACGTTTGTCCGAAGCTCTCGAGGTCGAAATGACATTCTCGATTGTTTCCCGTTGCAGCTACCCAGTTTTAGTGACATCATATAAGTACAGTATTGAGAGGTTGTGCCTTCTGATGAAGACGGAACTGTTAAAAGAAACTTGAAGAGGTCAAACAGCCGTCTCACCTGAAAATGGCCGTGCAGAGAAGACTATTCTTTTGGGTTGGATGAAATACACCGTTAGTTTTCCTTTCGGGTTAAAGTAGTTGAGAGCTACGTTAACCCTCTGTTTCCAGGCTAGAAACTTTACGAACCTGAGGCACTGTGTAGAAACTGCATCTCTTCCACTGACGGATATACGGGCTCACCACAGAGGACGGGCCCTTGAGGTCAAAGATATATTTTCCCAGATAGGTGACCTCAGAATAAGGTATAGTTTGCGCTAGGTAATTTTTTGGTCGATTTGATTACTCTACCATGCATTTCTCTAAAGTTAACTTTCAGTCATCATGAATAGTCTCAATCCATCGTTGTCGTCTACTAAGTAACATATGGTTCCCCACACAAGGCCAACTGACTAACAAATGAGTGCTTATAGGTCCGACTGATTCCTAGAACAGCGATAATGACGTATATCCACTATCGTATAAACAGCGTATCTATCAAAAATAAGGACTATGGGACAGTGACGATCAGAATATTCGTGCATGGATTTCACAGGGTGAATTCGTTCGTCATATACTGTTGTAGTCGAGATGTGATGCAATTTTAGTCCTATCCGACACAACTACTTAGAATGAGCGAAACATAGTATATAGTGCCTGATATAATATAGTGCCTGGATATTCATCGGATGCGGTGGCTATAGAACTGAACTTCAATCAACTTATCTTTTTTCACCTACTCGAGCTGTGCAGGACTTTGGTCAGAAGCAAGTAGATAGTTGCATCTCGACGAACACCAATTCTCATATCAACTGGGTTTTCAAGGGAGACCCCGTTGAATGAATGTGACGAACAAAGGATGCTCTTGTTTTATTTGGTATAATATTCGTGATATCGCAGTAAATTTTCATAAAGGAAACTAATCACAACGTTGCTGAAAAATCATTTACATCCCACAACCGTTTCGGCCCTTTTTTGGGCTCATCAGGTGGGCGCAGTCATCGCACTTCTATCAAATTTATGTTTTACTTGAACCCAAACTCTCTTGGGTCTCCCGTGAAAACGAAATTGATTGCAAATGAGTGTGTTTGTCGTGGTATGTCCCATTTGGTTTAAAGTAAAACATTAGGTTGGCGTCAATTCTGGGATTGCCCGAGAACAGAAAAATCGATCTTGGGCTGTCGAAGAGTTTCTGCAACCTTGTGAGTACTTTCCTTCATGAAGATAATTGCACATTTAATAACTGTTGGATGCATCAATTCGACATTTTTCTTGATGCATAGCAGGAATTTGGTGCTCCTCTGTGATGGTGCGCGGTTTTTATATATACCGACCTTGACTAGCAAATTTTTGTTCAGTAGCAAGTAATGCAAATCAAACATCAAGATTAGAAATTTTTAAAAATTATTTTTGATAAACCCTATTCTGATCAGTGCATACCTAGTCGTAAAATAGTCAAACCAGTCAGACTAGTGAAGATTGAGCGGAAGAATTATAAAAATTACGGTTCGTCCAACGCAATAGACACGTTATAGTGATGACCACTGACTGGCAGAAAAAAATTAACTGACTAGATACTGCAGTGTCCGTGAAGGTGTGCGTGTGTCACAAGATCAGGCATTTCTAGACACTTGCACAAAGCTATTCTGGTAACAAACAGTCAAACTGAGTGTGCCCGTTGTTGCAGCTTTGATCGCTGTTAAGTGATGCTTTTGAATCTAATTAGCTAGTTGGTTGGAAACCTGTTGGATTATTCAGTCTTTAAATATTATGAAAAATATGACCTATGTTAACTGTGTAACCCTATAGTCCACTTGAACCCAAATTGGAGTGTTTTCCGCAAATGCAATCAATATGTTTATTTTTTCACCAGTGACCCAATGAGCCCCCCTCGTTGATGATACCCTTCAACTAAATATGCTGCGCAAATGCTGCTTGTTTCCTATTTGGCACAATTGGTTTTTCGAAATTGACGGGTACGAACTCAGGAGGTTTTATCAAAAATAGCTTTCCACGTGAAAAAGTACTTTCGGTAATAACATGCACTAATTGCAGCATGCACAAACAAGCAAAGCCTACAGGTGGTCAAGTAGTATTAGAAATGGTAGTTGACCGCCTGCGCTATCGTTTTGAATATTATTTACTGGGAGGTAGCAGCAGTAATTCAATTTTTGCCTGGGGCATATCTGAACATAGACATTGGATACCGCTAATCTATTACAAGTATTGACAAGACCAATGCTTTCAAATGACTTGTTAGATAAACTGCGCAGTTTTTCAAGGATTTTTAGGAACAGTTCCACAACCCTGGTTACGCAGTTAATTAAAATCACAGCTTGATTCGTGAGATTCCGCGTTTACGCGGATAAGCCGTTTCAGACCACCCTAAGATACATAGTCATTGCTATTAAACCGCGGTTTCAACCATTCCGGATACTGACTAACCAATTTTGTTAACAGCACGACCCATAGCTTTCCAGAGGCATATTCTCACGTTGTTAATTCCCATGCCAATAGTATTTCCTCGCACTAATGATGTTACTGACTGAACTGCGAAATAATATATCATACAAAACAGTCCACGTTGACGTTCAAAAGCGATGAGTCTAGGATTGCCCATAGGCCGAAACAATGGAAGATTCGATCTCAAATTGAACTAGCTTAGCGGACCGCATATCGGAGACAGGAACGAGAAATTCAAAGTATAGAGGCCAATTGTAAACTCACATATTGGGGCAACCTCAGTCGCTGACGAAACTTAAGGCCCATTCGCACTTTAACACGCGCACCTGCGAATTTCGCGTAAAGGTAAGAGATGAACAAGGCGGAAGAGATCACGGGCACATGATCTGAAGTTCTCTGATCCAGAAGAAGCTGTCTTACTGTCTTCACTGGTAATCCACTTCGTCGGTGATTCACAAAACTACACTTTGGCCGAACGAAATTGATGGTAAAAGACGGATTGTGAGGAGATAGATCGATGGACAGACTTAATATCTAACATGCTTTACAGTGAGGCCTGAAACTTCAGAAAGTATCACTTGTAAACGTCAATTAACTTGAAGAAAAAATTGAGCCGCAGTTTACCGAATAGTCAAATCTCTGTAAACCGAGTTACAATTATTAGGTTTGATCAGTTGAATGGCGAATGGACGGTTTTATTTAAAAAGTGTTGTTTGTGAGAGTTTGTTTTTGAAAAAAATACAAGGTCTTAAAATGCTTCTTGTTTCTAAGACAATTTTTACAAAGGATACACGGCAGTTCCATGTAACTAATCTTGAGCTGAATCAAGTTTTCTACACGGCTTGTAGTGTTTTTATAAGGTAGAACTTTCAATCAGATTAGGCTCTACTTTGGCGGATGAAAGTCACCTGCCGGAAACGACAAAGTAGGTTATGGGGCCTTTCCTGAAACAGTCAACTCGCTGCCTAATTCAGGTGAAGCTTGTTGCAGTTTTTTAATCTTTATTTTCAGACGGGTTATGTATAAGTACGATCTAGTTTGATAAATTGCAGTCTATTGACCAGCGTAGTTGGAATGTCCAACTCCGACCGTATCAACGGATTACATGTGAAGGGGAGAGAGCAGGATTTAAAGTTTGAAAAACAAACTCCAGGTACTTGTTGTACGGACCATCAGAAGCGACTTAAAATGGTCCTTTGTAATGACCTTGCACTTGGAAACTTCCCACATCCCCAATTGTCTACCAATATCTCGCTATCAAGCCGGAATACAATTTACGAAGTTGTATCCTCATTGGGAATCATAAACAAGGTGAATCATCAGAAACTGGAAGTTAGTCCAAAACCTCTAGCTCATCAGTTAGGGTTTACCACTGCCTTTTGGATACCAATTATTGATCACCGTACGGTTATCGTCCCATTGGGTGAACGTTAACGAAGGTCACCATGCAACACCAGAAAAGTATCAAACGTCCTGGCGCTGACAGGCCTTGTTGGAAGACCAATTACCTGGCGGGATATTTTACATTTATCACCGTACTATCAATTGACGAGTAGTGAGTTTATTTTCAGGTTTCAAATGCTAATTTCATCCCGCAAAGAAAATAACTAATGCAGACCACTCTAAAATACATCCAAAGCTATTTTAGATTCTTTGCAGGTTGGATTAAAACAATGCAAAATATAAAAACTGCCGGCTAGTTGAATGCGATAGGACAATTCCAGCCGTAGACCAGCGGCAAAAATGAGGTTTGGCGTAACACATATGACATTTTGGTGGCATACCTGTAGGTATCGGAACTCCCACACAGTATGAAAAAGATCAGACAGACCTGATTATTCCTTCCAATCGACTGGCTACGTGCCAGTTGTTCCATAGAAGTGTATCAACACACCATGGCATCCTCCTTAAATACCGTGGTACTCAACTATGTGGTTGATCTCCCCCTCATTCGGAAATTTTTCTGTCGGTTAATCTGATCTAATCGTAACTATTAAACTACTACGTTCATGGTATTAATTTCGGATGGGGTGAAGTATGGTAGAATCTGTCTGAAGCAAACATGATTACACTGTAAAAATCGCGCCACAAGAACCAAACATTAATACGTTCCAACCCGGATTATGTTTAAACAGGGATGAATTCAGTCTCGTTTAACCACAGTTCTGTGTCCGGTGACTGATCCTAGTACTGTGGTCTTCAAAAGCGTGTCGGCATGAACTTTGTACAAATACCAGTTAAAAAATACACTATATTATGCTACTATCGCATAGATTTCTCTCTGAGAAGCACACAGTCCATGGATGAGTATAAACAGGTTACAAACCATCAGCTTTCGACACAAGCATGTCCGGGTTTGCGCGGCAAAATAGATGATTTCTTGCGTCTCTTAATCAGCCCAAGCGACCACACAAAATGATGAGAAAGGTGTCCCTGTCCTTCTTCGACGTCCAGTTTAAAATCATCATAAATACTCCAGAGCACTCGTCAAAATTATGACCAATAAACCCTTAAAGTACTGGGCCCACTTGGATCCAATCTACCGCATCCAAAATAAAAATTAGAAAAATTAAGCCCGTGCAAATACAGATGGGCTACTGTTTATGATGAACATTGGCGTACATAGCAACTGATGGTTTTGGTATGGTTTTTCTGCAGAGATCAGTTTAATCGTTGATTCCTCACAGAATCAGTGTGTTATATCATTTAAACATAAAGC